ACCGGCGCCAGCGCTGCCGCTGGAAAGCTGTTGACCGGTGCAACTGTTGGCACTGGTCTGTTTGGATTTGCTCTCGTCGCGATGGCTGGCCTGTTTTAGAAGAGATATCCCCCCATTTGTTACAGTAGTGTGTATGTAGTTCTTCCCACAACAGTTAGATAATACAGGACCAGAGGAGTCCTACTTTTCAAACGTTAGCTCCTATGTCTGGCCCGCGGGATGCGATAATTTTATGTGACTCTAATCCTTCCTTCGATGAGGGAGAGGGGGGGTTGTTTTGGTCTGGCCCCAGCACATACGTCGGAGGTGATATGCGACGGTTCGACTCGCCCGCGAGGATGAACCCCGTGAGCTATGCAGTGATCCATGGATGATGGATTGCGCCTGAACGCACAAATTTACGCTGATTTTTCGAGGAGGGATTTTTCTACTAAGTCACAAGGAAAGAATCGACGAATCGTAACATTCTCTTATTTCTTCAGTTTTCTTTTTTTGCTCTCTTCGCAATGTCTTTTCTCGTGATGATGAGAAGGATGTTGGGTAAAAGTTGTGACATGGCGCCGCAGCACTGGAACCAACTTTGCACTTGGGTACCTGCATGCAGCCTGGAGCTGCATCAAGTACACTGTAGTCATTGGCTCGTTTATGTACCTGAAAGTTATCTTGAATTCTTGATACTCACCGCTGCTACCCTGAGAGTCCGATAATAAGGGGCCCAAACATGAGGGGGCCGTGTCAGGTCCTCGCCATGCACCCTCGTTGTCCCAGACTTCAGGTTCGTCTGATCGGATTTCCATGACTCAGCAACCTCCTGACTGAGACGTCATGATGTAAAGAGGTGGCGCAACTGGACTGCTCTCCTGTCGCTTCTAAAGCTGAAAAGATACAAAGAATTTAGATATTGCAAAGAAAACCATCAGCTGTCCAGAGAAGATTGTAGCGAGATTCTAGTAAGAGAAGTTCGCTATCTGGAGCGAGCCTGCGATAGTTCAGTAACATCCACTTGAGGCTTCGTCTACCCCGATTCCAAGTCGGGGATCCCCGAGACTCCATGGGCATTCCTCGTAAAGCGCTGCGAATTGACTTCACACGGTCACGATGACACTGGATCATATGGCTTAGAGGCTCTCCGAGAGATCTCTCTAGTTAGCCCGGGACCCCCATCATTATGCTTATTGCTGTGCTCCAGATTTGGAGACATGTGACGAGTTATGATGCCGATTCAGTCCAGCTATCAAACATGGTTATTGCAAGACATGTACCGAGTTAGTCCCTGAATCATCTTGGTATCGAGTAATCATGACTATTCAGGTTGCCTAGGCAGAAAACTATCCACAGTCAACGGACTGAGTGTTCGGCATCGGAATCGCTACCCCTCCCAAAATTCTGTTGCGTAGTGCCCCGAATGCTTATGTTCAGTCCGAGCCTTGGAATCGATCTGTACACTTGATGTATCTTGGCCTAAGACTACTCACATCGGCTTCACTTGACACATGCCGCTGCTTCAACCTAACAGCGTTGTAATGATGGACGCCGTTTTTCTCGTTGAATTAAATTCAACCGCAGAGGAAAATCTTCCGTCGATTGTGAATCCTGGGCTGCTGTACCGTTCTTCTCATCCGAACGAGGATCATCCACCGACAGTCCCTGATAACTCGCATTTCTGCAAGGACTGGCTGAGACATTTCCACAACTCATTGCCCGCAGAATGTAGGTGGGGAAGTATGGACGATCTCGAAGAATCCCATTTGGTAGCTATAATGCCCAGTAGCAACTTTATTCTGACTAGCACTTCGTATCTATGTGGTTTTGATGCTCAACAGCGCTCCTGAAATGAGCTATGCGGGGCAGTGAATAAGTTGGGGGCCACTGTCTGTGTCGCCGCGAGCAGCACGACTCGTTCTTTCCCCATTACTCTATCAGGATCTCAAAACTTAAACAAGGTAACCTAAACAATGGAAGCCAAAGTATGTGCGAGTCAACTTACCCATGATGATCTACAACTCCAAATCTTCATTCAACACTAGAGCAATTCTAGCTGTTCGTAACCAATACTGAATTCGGGCCTCACTTTATTAGAGTTCAGAGGTCAACTCGTTCATGCCGACAGCCGAATCATGAAGGGTCCCTTTCTTGATATCTGAGGATAAGCCAGACCGCATACTGCTGTGATCACAAGATGATGGACGTGTCGTGCTGTTATAAATTCTCTGCTGTTTCCGTGTACTTCAATCGTGCTCCCATCATCAAAACCTCATCCTCACCAAGTCTCTCTTTCAGTAACCGCCAGGCCGTTCTTCTCTTCAAACATTCATTTGCCGTCGCAACCACAACGTTCAAAATGCGTGCCACTACTTTCACCGCTGTTTTCGCTTCCCTTCTCACGGCTGTTGCCGCTGTTCCCCAGGGCTTTAGCTGCAAGGTAAGCACGGAACACTAGCCTCCAAGCCACACCACACTGGCTACGAGGCGAGATCCGCTAGATCGGATTGCTGACGAGTCATCAAAGTCCGAGGGCTTCTGCACCTACAGCGACCCCAACTGCAACTTCTGCCTTAACATCGATGCTGCTGCCAAGATCAAGGTCTGCCAGGCCATCGACCCTACCTACAAGAGCGCCCCCGGCGACATCACCCGTGGTCCTTCAGGAGTAAGCGATCCCCATTCCCAGTAGAGTCGTATTTGGTATAGGAACTCAAGCTAACTCGCTCCTCACCTCGCAGGCCGACTTCCAGTGCGTCGTTACTTGCTGCCACTAAAGCGAGGGCTGTTATTTAGAGTTCACGATGTTTGGTCTAGGTTATCTAGAGCGCATCTAGCTTTGAGCCTTAGATACACGGCATACGAATGCAAAGACGTACACGAAATAATTGTTTGGCTTCTTGTGATTGCCCTCTTTTCCCTGCAAATCGATACTCATCACCAAGCGAAATTTCTGTTTGTCAGGGTTTTCCCATCACATTTCGGTGTGCTGAAAAATCAAGCTCCAGCAGCGAAGATCGCGGCAGGTTTTGTGAAGACTGTCTGAGTAAGACGGCGCCTACACTCCCCGAAGTAGGGAAGTGGCTGGGGTGTGTAACAGCACCCTGGCGTTTGTTGGTTGTGATGAACGCACTGAAAGAGCTTCCATCTGTCGAATGTAGACGGCCTGGACAAGTCGGAGACCGATTGTCTAGCTGTAATTGGTCTTAGGCCTTGGACGTACAGACATAGTATGGAATGTCTCTTGCACATGACATCGGACAACGGATAGGAACGGGGTCCGGGCTGAACAGATGTGGCGCTTATTTAGTAGTAAAATCCACAATTCCCGCCATCAATGTATGGGCGGCACGGCGCTACGGAGGCACAGATGCCGACCAGCTCATTAGAAGCTGATTAGACGCATGCCAGCAACCACATCAATGTCGGCACGGCCCTTCTACCAACCTCCGATGGCCGGTTGCAGGATGGTGGGAGACATCAAAGCAGTTGGCTCATATAGAAGCTAGCAGAACAGATATCACGATGATGGGGTATAATTATTTAGACCGTGTCATCATATCGGGGTCCGAAATCATACACATAAGCCAAGACGCAATCAACGTATCAAACTTCTGGCTTGGCCACAGTTCTCATCACTTATAGACCCCAAGATTCGAAGTCTTTACACCTTGACGCAATCGCAACATCGAACGAACTCTAATTCAACTTTAAGACCCCTGCCAAGAACCAAACTCAATTTCTCTACAACCCAACATAATCTGCCAAGCCATGTCAACTACAACAACGGCCGCGAGTGGCCAGCAGGTAGGCCACTCTGTATCGCCGTCATGTTGTGACCGCTAACACCGCATAGACGCCGAAAGGACCTCCATATGCACCAGTTACAGCTCTTCTGGGCTTGACGCCGACCGTGAAAGTCGATGTGCCAATCTGCGCCGTCTTGATCGTCTTCTTCCTCAGCGGATTCATCCTTAACCTCACCATCTTTCGCAGAAACAAAGCCCGCGGGCACAAGTTCCTACCTTCGGTGCTTCTCGCCGGCTTCTGCATGGCCCGCAACATGGCGCTGGTCCTACGCATTGTCTGGTCCACTCGCCACGACAACGCCAGCTTGACGATCGCCGCCAATATTCTCGCGGCTGCCGGTGTCATCATCCTCTTCATTGTCAACCTCATTTTCGCGCAGCGTTTGGTCAGATCGATACATCCCAACTTCGGATGGGGTCGCATCCCCTCGATCGCCTTCAAGGCTCTTTACGCCTACGTCATCATTTGTCTTATCATGACAATTACGGTCACCATCATTTCTTTTTACACCCGCAACCCATCGACCTTGAACACCGCGCGCATCATCCAGTTGTTGTCCGGAACATCCCTTGCTACATTGGCCTTCTTGCCGATTCCGATTGTCATCACGACCGTGCTCATCCCCAGCAAATCCGCCCCAGAGCCCTTCGGCAAGGGTTCGCTCAGGACAAAGATCATCCTCGTTCTCTTCACCGCCACCCTGCTAGCACTGGGTGCTGGCTTCCGCATCGGCGTGAGCTACACTACGCCCCGGCTTGCGTCAAACCCAGCATGGTACCACCACAAGGCCTGCTATTACGTCTTCAACTATGTTATTGAGTTGATCGTGGTCTTTACGTACGCACTCAGCCGCTTTGATAGGAGGTTCCACATCCCTAATGGATCCAGTGCACCGGGTCACTACTCTGCAGGTGTTGAAGATGAGAAGCGCTCTAGCAGCACTAGCAATATCAACGACTTGGATACCGAGCGGTCACCAAGTTACAAGGAAAGCTTCCGAATGGAGAACAGCCCATAGAAATCAGATATGACTTCATGAGAGGGAGGAAGGAGTTTGATAGATCATCATTTAGAAAGTAGAGAGTTATGACTCTTCCTACAGCAGGGAAACAAACCAACCTGCAAAGAATGTAAAATATGTAACATGTTCATCTTCTCGAACCATCATCATCAACAGTTGTGCTGTGCCTTTCCGTGCGAAAGGGACCTCAGTACGAGAACTCGAAAGCAAAGCCGACGTCTGGATCATTCTGATAGACAGCGACGGTAACGATACCATCTCCATAGTTATAGTTGGTGTAGCCGAGATCATCAGGTTCGGCGACACGATCAAATCGACCCGGAGCTGTGTTGAATCGGATCGCTTTGATAGGCAGTGACCCAGATTCAGGAAGACCAAGGGCGCTCAGTCCGCCAATCTTGACAAACCAGACGCCAGTGTTTGGACGACATCCAGCCAAGATACGCACTACTCGCTGGCTGGGGTCGACGGTAGCGTACGTATCCACAAGCGTGTCCTCAGACATCTCGGTGCGCACACGATACCCCGTCATGCTCTGGGCATAGTAGACATACACCGGGTACTCACGAGCAGGCCGATAACTAGTGTCATACATGTCATAATTGGCACCAGTCTTGTCTTTTCCGAGGAGGTATGCCAGATAGTCGTTGAGTTCCTGACCGCCTAGCCAATTGGCCCGGAGACCTGGCACGTTGTGTCGCTCCAGCTGACCAATGTTCCATATGAGACCGGATGGAACCTGCTGGTCCGGGTGGCCGTACTCCTGGACGTTCCAGATACCCTGAAAGTCGACACCAGCAGCGTTCAAATACTGACGGTAACTGTCGAGCGAGGTAGTCAAGTCTCCGTTTCCGTAAAGGAAATGAAGACTGATCTGGTCTGGGATAGAATTGTTGGATTTTATGAACTCGGCCCAGCGTGAGAAATATTGTTCGACGCCTTGCGAAAAATTGGGCAGATGACCGTATGACGGCCCAATGACCTTGGCATTGGGAAAGTCCCTCCTGTGGAATGGTGAGCTGAAAGAGCTCTCGGCCCGGGGTTTGGTGATCAACTTACATGATCTTATGGTATGCATGACCCCAGTACTCTAGCCATCTGTCTATTCCTCGATCGAGGAAGTCAACATTGTCAATCTCGTTCCAAAGGTCCCACCAAATGTTGTCGACCATGCCATCTTGTTTCAGCAGCGCAAAAAAGGTGTCAAGGAAGTTGTCAAAGTCTTCATAGCTCCCTCCGTCCCCCGGCATCGGCGTCTCGGCGAAACTCGAATACGAATCAGTCCCCCACATGTCATGGATCATGATTTGGAAATTTCCCCCGTGGCGGCGCGTGACCTGGTAGGCAGACTTGAGATACTCGTAGCGACCCTGGAATCATTGTCAGTGCAGGCAAAGGTATGCTACGTTGTCAACTTGTTACTTACCATGAACTCGTTCAGCCCTCGTGTCCATCCACGACGGGGCTCGGCTAGCTGGGAGCCACCAGATCTCATGTTCCAGAACTTGATGTCAGATAGCCAGTGGTCGGGTATCTGGTCGGGGTTGCTTGGGATGCCAAGTAGGACACCAGAAGCCATATGCTGTGGAGTACCAGTGTTGTCATTGAGCCAGACGTAGGAAGATCCAGAGAGATCTCGCTTCTGGACAACAGAATTTGATACCGGCTCTGGGGCGCTCAGGACTGCGCCCAGGACTGGCAACAACAGGCCCGATAAGAGGACCAAAGCATTTCGAGCCATGGTGTCTATAACTTCGGCGCGTTGAATATATTTGAAGGACGGCTTTCGAAAGTTCTGTGGTGAAGAACGAGTACAGGAAAAAATGATCGAGCAGTCAAAAAAGATTTTATATGCCGTACCTCATCCGAAAACGTACTGGTCTCGCGGGTATCACCATGACATCTCAGAGCACTGGCAAACCAGTATCTCAACTCCATTCACAAATAGAATCTTGCCAATTCGTAGCTAGTAGGCACCTATTAACGCTCGTTCTCCGGTGCGGCATCATCGCGTGTCGGGTACGGGTAAAGAGCGCCAAGTCCGGTGGGGGTTTGCCCGGTGGGCGTCTGGTGCACAATGCCTATTGCGCCGTGCCGGTATAAGTAATTCGAAAGTGAGAGAAAGCGCTATTGGTGTACTTTCTCCGCCGAGTACACTCAATACTACCCAAAAGAGCCGATTGGATGCCCGGCAGAAACAAAAACGGCGGGGGCGGGGTACCAAAGCCTCGAACGAGGGGTGAAGCTGGAAAGGAGATAATCGAGACTGCCTCTTGATCATGATAGCTCTTTGTCTCTTCATCACGACGAAACAAGATAATTACCCCTGGAGCCTCTACTCTGGGAAGCATGGTCATGACTGTGCTGACCCACGTGCATCTCTAGTACCACCCAGGCTGTGTGATTGAGCATCTAATCAATCAAACTGATGGATTAGATTACGTCAAATTCTAAGCTTACGGCTTATCAGATGGGGCGATCATCGCCCGTATGAATCTGACAGGACGACAATCCGAGTAACCTAGAGTTGTTGAGCGAACCAGACACCTCTTCTTTGTCTGGAGCGGGGCCTATCCAGGTACCGCGCCGAAAGATGCATCCGCGCGGGAACATCGTAGAGCGCATAGTTGAGGGAAAAGAAGTAGGACGACAATAGATACTATCCTTCAAGACGTATTTAAACATGACGGCCGACTCCTGCTTGCTAACTTGACCCTTTTCGTCATCACTCGGAAACACAAAAAGAACCCAAAACCAACAAAAGGCCAACCACGGCGTCTTCTCAACTATGAAGTTCATCCAAGTCTTTGCGATTTTCGGTAAGTTAGTTGTCGACTTATACCGCGGAAGGTCGTTGCACACTAACATTTTGGTGCGCAACAGCGTCGATGGCCATCGCGGCCCCCCTCGCTCAAGAAGCACGCACCAAAGCAGCAGCTGGTCTGGAAGCGCGCCAGGGCTGCCAGTGGGAAGCCTTTGGGCGGGTGCCCTTAAGAGCATGATGGCCTCAGCACACACGACAAGTCGTGAAGTTTCCAGTATGAGTTAGGTCAGACGGAGACAAGTCCTGGTGCTTCCAAAGTCCATTAATTTCCACCTTACGTATTTAATCTTGGCCGTCTTCTTCTGGAGGCCATGAATAAATATTATATACACATTAAATCCTCAAACGATTTATTCATAAGCCTTCAATCAACTTGGGCAAGATAACATTGTTGTACTCCCATACCACAGTCGAGAAACCTGCAGAGAAGGCTGCTCCCGTGTACCAAGTGGAGCGGCGGCCTTGAAGAGCTGTCTGCTTCTGAATGAATCCCGCACGGAGCTCTTCGCCAGTGACCCGAGGATGCATTTTCCCGTGGTTCGCAAAGGCAACGAAGCTGAGTGTGCCGTTGGAAGCAGGGACGGTCCCGGCCTCAATCAAATTGTCAATGGACTCGGCAATAACAGCCTTAATGCTCTCTGAGGTATCCTCATCCGTGCCGATAGCCGTGAACTGGAACAGGTCCTGAGTACCACCAATGTAGTCGATGCGTCCCACCTGAGAGGGGGTTGGAAACACGGTATAGTTGGTCGAACCGGGGACGGGCGATCTGTTGGAGTAAGCGGTGCTGATTTGCAACGAAGGATGGCGGAGGATGCCGGCGTAGACGGTGGTGAACTCGATCTTGTTAAAGACTTCTGTCTCGGTCTCGTCTGGGCGGAAAGGTGCGAGACTCTCAGGAGTCGGCTCGAAAGCGATGAGCAGGCGCTTTGCGTCGATGCAGGTCAAGGTGCCATCAGCTCCGGCAACCTTCACGGAGACACCGTCGTCAGTGCGCTGAGCTGTCGTGACGACGGTGCTGGAATAGAGAACATCATCGCCAAGGAACCTGGCCACGCTCTCGTACAGTTCGTAGAGGCGTCCCGAGGCAGGGACCGCTGCAGCGGCTGTTCCCAGAAGGGCTCGCACCATGGGAACTCCGGAAGCCTGCATGACAAACAAGGTCGGCACGTCCATCGTGTCACCAAGGCCCTGTGCCGTGGAGTCCCAGATCTGGGGTACGGCGGCGGCGATATCGTACTTTTCGATGAACTGGCGGAAGGGCATAACCAGGTCCTCGGGAATGGCGTCCGCATCAGGGAAGTTCTCAAAACCTGGGAGGATGATATCCTCATACTTCTCGAGAACGTCGAGATACCTCTGCAGCGCCGGATACATGGCGTCTGAGGAAGGGGCGGTCCAGCCTATTACTGGCGAGCCCGTCTTGAAGTCGACGTACTTGTAATCAAGCGTGGTGAACTGCATCGAACCGCTGGTTGAAACGTTCATGCGCTTCGGGAAGTCAAAGGTGTCCTTGTACTCCATCCATGCTTGTACACCGACGTTGATGGACTTGTTCGAAGCCGAGTCATAGTAGAAAGCCGTATGGCCACCCTTGAAGAGAATGTTAGCCACGATACGTAGTTGCTTCTAGGAGAGCCATCTGTAGAGGAAAGTGTGATGGAAGAGAATGTGACTCACAAGTTGACTGGCCTTTTCTACGACGACGACACTCTGCTCATGGTCTCTCAACCAAACAGCAGCGTGAGAGCCAGCAGCACCGCCACCGACGACGATAACATCCCGGGAGATGGTTTGGTTGCAACAGCTCAGCCCAGCCACGCCCTGTGCCACGAACGTGGCGACGAGACTTGCACCTGCACGTATCTTGCTAGAACGCATGTCGACCGAGAAAGCGTGGGTAGTTCAGAGAGTGCACACTAACACGTGATTTCTTGGAATCCGGCAGTGATTCTGGTGTGGTAAGGCGACTGGCAACGAAACGCACCTCCACGGCGAGTTTGCAGAATCACGGAGGATTTTAAGTCGAGTTGCCCAATACCTGCAGAGTACCACAACATCAACTCCCGATAGTTGAAGACTGCGTCTGCATAGACTACGTACTTGACTTTCCCAAACAAGTAAGCATATCTCGGTTGGTGGAATCGATCATCTTGGCCACTAGCCGTTCTCGCCGACATGGATTCTTCACCCCGCATTGGACCAACGGCCGCTGCATGCCGGAGATTGCAATGTGACTGATGGATCCTAGACAGGTGAACCAAATCGTGGAACTTTGTTGGATGTCACGTCGATTTCGTCGAACCAACAAGTTCAACAGCGAGAGGATACAGGCATCTTCCAAAGATGGTGTGATAATACCATACCTTGAGGGGTTTCCGAACCAGGATCTTAGGATACAATGCTCTGCTTTGGCGACCGGGGCTCCGAGCCCGGCCGTCCGAATAAGTTGGACCATCAACCAACAGGCCGGGTGGATAGTGGCCGGGGTACGAATGCAGGGGCGCGGCGCCAGCAGGATCCACAAGTCCCACCCGGGCCGATGGCCTCGATCATCCGAGCAAGCCCATGCGTTCAAATTCTGCGCGGTTTTGCATGATTCCTGGTCGATGTTGGCAGATGAAGAACGAAGACCGGTTGTGGCGTTGTTGGCACACTTCCAAATCACCGCATCATTGCCTGGAAACGGCAACAGGAAGATTGGCTCGGAATTCGAATATTGAATTGTGGTTCGTTCACTCCTGCCGCGAGAAGCGTGGTCCACGCTGAGAAACGGCCTCCCACATCTTCCTGTCATATGGATCCGTCTACGCCGTTCGTGCGGCCCGTAGTCAGATCGGGCTGGGCCGGGCGTCAGTTCCACTTGAGGTACTATCCGTAGACAGCTGTGCTGTGGCACAGGAGTCGTCTACTTATGACTCTGGTGTTCGACGAGCTGACAGTATGTTCGACAGTCGATACTCTATACTCTCACCGTTCTATCCTTGTTCTTGGCAGTTGAAGCCCATGTGGCAACGCGCTGCCCGGAAATCCCGGTATCTTCACCCCTCTTCTCCCCTGTGCCACACCAATGCAGATTCTTCAAGAATGCACGTTGAAAAGCCGTCACCAACAGGGTAGTGGATCCCTCGGAGGAAGGAATTTACGCATTGAGCAATAGTCTCGCAACAAATACGACGTCTGTCATTTTGGGCTGTTGTGCCATGTGCGGTACCTCTTCAGTATTGCCACAAGTTGAGAACCAATTACCGGCTAACTACTAGTGAAGCTCGAGTTGTGACAAGTTGTGACAAGCTGCAAGGTGCAAATTTCTTCTTCTGCCCCTTGAGCCTAAAACCAAGAGCGTCGAAGAAGGCCGCATGAAGCCAGGACAGGCAAGTCGTGGGGCCAAGCCGAGGCGAAGAGTGCGTGAGTTCCATGACATTCGTAGTCGGAAGAATAAGCACCTGAGTCTTGCGTCTCTCTGTAGGATTCTCAGTGATAATGAGCCCCGAGAAAAGAGGGTGGTCTTATCCACAAGTCCACGCCGCCATCACCGTCGCTGCTGCTCTCTTTCTACCCTCTCCAGAGTCACAACCATGAAGTAAAAATGGATGAATTTCCTCCAAAGTACGTCAATGCCAGCAATGCAGGGCGGATCGTCGGCGTGGTTGGCGCTTTCCACTTTGTCGCTCTGGCATTCGTCGCGCTGCGTGTTTATGCTCGCGTGATACTTCTCAGGGCCTTTGGAACCGAAGATGCCCTTATAGTGGCTGCCGCCGTAAGTCCGTACTTGCACATTAGTTCGTCCGATTTTCGAAGGCCGAAAAGAGGTTATTAACTTCAGGACGATGTAGATCCTCGCCCTTGTCTCCTGGGTCTGCCTGGTCCTCCAAGTACCTTACGGTCTCGGTCGTCATGGCTTGACAATCCCGACAGACGACAGAATCGAATTCGAGCAGATATCTTTCTGGAAGACGGTTCTATCAGATGGCGTCGCGATGGGACTGTTGAGGATATCGATGGCAATAAGTTTACTTCGACTAAAGAGAGACCTTCAATGGTACCGTTGGTCGCTTTACGCCGTAATTGGTATGTGTGAATACGACGTTGCCGCCTCTCGCCCCCGGCTCCAAGACTTTGATGGCTGAATTATATAGGTTTTGTCATTGCGTACTCGATTCAAGCAATTGCTTGGTTGTTCGCTTACTGCACGCCATATTCGGGCTGGTGGGAGTTTCAGTGGATGAACCCCTTTGATCCAAGGTGTCATGACTTCAATTTGTTCATCAACCTGACGTACTGGAATATCTGTAAGTCGAACTGAGTGGCTGTCTGCCACGATTTCTAACAAATTTTCTGGTTAGCCTGTAACATCTTTACCGACATTTGCTTGGGAGCGCTGCCGATTCCCATCATCTGGCATCTGAAGATGAGATTCCGCGTTAGACTTTATGTGATAAGCATCCTTAACCTTGGTTATTTGTAAGTGTTGATTGTATTCTGATATCCTTCTCGATTCACGAATGCGCTGACGTGATTCTAAATCTAGTGCAGTCATCATGGGCATTCTCAAGGCTGTATTCATGTTGACCACAGGTGGCAGCCCTGATGCCATATTCGACTATTGGGTTCATTTCTGGCAAAAGTGAGTTCTCGGACATGCAGGCAACTACTTTGACAATGCAATGTGTAGGCTTTGTTGAAAGTGCGCATGCTAACTAGTCTCGATGCGAACCAGCCTCCAACTCAATATCGGTATCATCGCGGCCTGCGCCTCCTACCTCAAACCCCTCTTCGGTCGCCTCTTGAAGATAAACAGCTCAGTCGACTACTACCCCAGCAACGAACGCTACGGCCGTAGTGGTCAGACGCCCCTCGGCGCCGGTGCCTCTCGCAACACCCCTTACGCGAGCGGTAACAGGAGGACCAGCAGAATCCCGCTGGATCGCAGTTTACATGATGAGTTCGAGTTGCATACCAAGGAAGTCTTCAGCGTTACTGAAAGGTATGTGTCTGGCGCGGGTACGAGAGCTGACGCGGTGCGCTCGCCGGTCGCTATAGAAGGCCGATGTTCCGCTGAAGCTGTGTATGCTGGTGCTTTGCCTTCCGATACGAACAGCGAGGAGATAATACTGCAGAAAGAGCACGGAAGAGGGATTGTCTGCACGAGGGACTTTAGTGTCAAGTACAGCGAGAATCATAGGTTTGGGCCAGTGAGTTCACTGAAGTCATGACAGACATGGCAGGGCACCTTTTGTTTTTTTTTAGGAACTGGAATATGAACCATATTTAGTCTTCAATAACATTCAACAATGATATGATAGGCGGGATATTCCTCGATGTCTCCAGTTGATGATTTCTCATTAAAGTATATGAGACGCATACTTTACCGGCTCCTCTTCATTGCATCGTCATAATAGTCAAAGTAGTTGTATTTTCCTGAATGAGACTTTTCTGCTCGAGAACTAATTTATTTTTAAGTTACCTTTGCATCCTCTAACCGCCTTACTGCGTGTTGAGATTCCTGCCGGAAGCAAGGGAACCCGACGATGCGCAAGCTGCAAACTTTCATGTTACATGCCATGGTCGTGTGCCTTAGATGTCTAGACTAACGAAGGCGCCCCTGGAATATTCACGATACAGCTGGACACCAATCTCGACACCTGGTCATGGATCCTCATAGCAACGAGCGTGCCAAACCTGGAAGCTGACGGCAAACCTCGGCACTTGCCAGCTATCTGAGGTATCGGGTACAGGAAAGGCAACGCCCAGTTGGAGTACGATGATCTCGGACCCGGCACCGAACCAGCACCAAGATGTCGGGTTCTGATAATCTGAGATCTGCTAGTTCCAGATATATGCCCACCGGGATGCGTTATCGGGTCACACGTGGAACCAGTGGAAGAAGTGTCAAAGCGGATTCCATCGGCGACGAGCCAACAGCAACGTTACCGCATGTCAGCGGTTGGGGAAGTCGAGGAAAAGGCGCGTGCCGGACCCGCGCGCCAACACGTCTGATGACGCACACGCATGATGCACGGCGCCGTGAACGGTCCCCTTGCGATGCCAACTCTCTCGACTCGCTGCGCATCGGTCCGGGTAAAACAGCTAACACACATGAGCAGCTATAGATAACTTGCCAACATGCAACGGCCAGTAGCTAGCCAGTGTTCTGAAGTGTGGCCGCGGCAGTATCATTTTCCCGAGGGAGCAGGTCTTTTTCTCGCGGATTCTCCAGTCTGATGTCCTCAGTTAGACACTTACCACCCACTAGTGAAACGCAAAATGAGATAAGCAGGATGATCTTGCCAATAGTCGGTTAATTCGTAAATCATAAGGTTATCGGTTCCAAGGGAAAACCCTGATCTTCGGCCCGCGATCGAGGAGAATAAAGTCTCTAAGATGGCTGTCGAGCCGTTGTTCCCCCTCCCCCGCAGAAGGTACTCTTGTATCGTCCTTAAGTAAGCCAGCATGAAAGCCATATGATTGGCCATGTCGCAGGTTCCTTCCCAAACTGGCAGCCAGCAGACGGGCCCACGCCGGTCTGAGCGTCCGGGTCCGTTCGTCACTTGTCTCGGTGGGAAAGTGGGGTTTCTTTGCGTCGTCTCGATCCGGGAAGGAGGCACTGAGGACTGCCATTGATTGTGTGGCAGGCTGGGTCTTGCCTTGTGACAAGAGCGATCTTAGCTCTTGCTTCTGGACCGGCTGCACGTCATTCGCCACTTTCCTCCGAACCACGCAGCCGACGGGTTCTTCGTTCTTTCCCAATCTTTGTTGGGCAGACACCGGGTAAGAGATACAGAAAGGCAGGAGGCGGGGTGACGGAGGACCTTCTTTCTACCGCCGGCGTCAGAGCTAGCATCGCTGGCTGGAACTTGGGGCTGCTGACTAGCGACTTCCATGCTCGGGTGAAGAACATGTGGTCTGTCTGACTGGCAGAAGCTGTGAGGAAGGAGCCTGACGGGAGGTGCTCTCGCTCTTGCCTCCCATCTCGCTCGGTTCTTTCCTTTCCATCAGTGATGCTCCAGGTCGCCATTAGATAATCAGTGCCATTACTTAAACCACCAAACCACTTGCCACCTACGGCCTTCCATTTCTTCCATCTCCATCATCACCTCACTGCACAATCAAACAATCAACGACTCCGGTCCACATTCAAAGCAAACAAATCTACTTTCAAGTCACTACAAACGACTCCACCAACTATCAACATGTCTGGCTGCGGATGCGCTTCCACCGGCTCCTGCCACTGCGGCAAGGACTGCACTTGTGCCGGCTGCCCCGTAAGTTCCCCTTCCCCGATACCGATCGCACCATCTGCCACCAAGATGATGTTACTGATACTTTTGTTACAGAACAAATAAGCATGTTCAAGCTTTGACCGATCGCCATTGTTCACGGGTGGATCTACGGGTTGTTTGGACGGATTGACCACATGGGTTTCGGATGGTTGCATGCAAGCAGACACAATGGGACTTCTTCCCTCTTTCCCTCACTTCAGCCCTATTGTCGATAGTCGTTAGGCGGAGATTCGCAATGCAAAGTTGACATCGATAATCCCTTCCGTGCTCCGTGCCTTATTCGTGCGATGAAACCCATGTCGTGGAGTCGTGTTACCTCGATCCCGTCTGTGCCAGCCTATTGTAAATCTGTACGACGCCAGCCATATCACACCCGGTCCTCCTGCTACGCATTATCCTTGTACAACGCGATGTCGCACTCCTCAGTCCACAGATCGCACTCCGATAAAGACAGCGCTTTGCGGCCAGTGATTACTCCATCTCTTCTTCCCTTCTCATATATCGACCAGCCCAACGATCCGAGGATCCTCGCGACGTAAAAGAACGCAGCAAAGATAGACCAGGCATATTGCCACTTCGCAATCCTACACCAGCCCCGATTCTGTGGCCACGCTTCGTCACAGCTTCGGGTAAGATACCACGGCCTCTCGCTGAGGTGATGAGGATCGCTTAGATCGGGTCCGTTCTGCGCAGCGGCACTGCAGGCCCATAGAATGCAGAGGAAGGCATCGTATGCTAGGTTCGTCCATCGGGCTTCGTATTGTAGGGCTGCCATCGTTAGGCGGGCGAAGAAAATCGTCGCTCCGAGAACCGCGGTGGCCATGTTGGAAGTTGTCAACCTGGATGAAGCGATGGATTAGCGTTGATGCCTCAGCAGGGTGATGGAAGCCCGCGGAACCTCACCTCTGGCTCCATATCAAGGGTATCTCGGGCGGCTCTTCATGGTTGGCGTAAAAGTATATCCGCATCCTCGGATTCGAACACCAACCTTCCTCGCCGCCGGTCCTCCAGAGTCGCGAGCGGAAGCGATCTGGGTACGCCACACCGAAGAGAGTGAGAGCGGCGAAGACGACGGCAGCCTCGAAACACAACAGCGCGGCGATCAGGTCTGGACGATAGACGAAGCCTCTTGGTCTCTGGCTCATGGTTGACGATCTCTCAACGGTCAAAGTATCGTGGGTTAAAGGGTAACGGCTCATCGGAGAGCATAGCCGAATGCGCAGATGCAGATGCGAACGCCATCATGTCCGACACTGTCACCATTGTGACGGATCACGATCTCTTATTCGACAAAGGAAGCTCGTTTCGTTGGTGACGACAATGAGAAGGGAACTGAATGCCTCAAACTTGCTCGATATTGGGGGCGGGGAGGTGCTTCGTCTTTTACATCCCGAGGACGGCGACTTCGATGCTGGGGTGACTTGACTTTTAGGCGTGGGGAGACTGACTGGTGAGGTGGTGAGGGGTTCGGGAAACTTGCTCATTCTTGCGCAGTTAGGCTTCCTATGCGGCCACCAATACGTCGCATGACAGACCACCGGGCTCTTGCTTTCCGCCAAGCGACTCACTATATGGAATGTCTAGCTGGATTTGCTTTTTCTTTTGCCTCTTCAAGTCCCTTTGGCAAGGTTCATGGACGAGTGGATGCATGCCTATCGTCGTACGGTCCGGCCCGCAAAACCTCGTTCCGGGCACCTGAGGAGCCGCCGTTTCCGTACCGGGCCCGAGAACACTACATGCTAGAGGTCGAGCCTTCTGGACTTGTGCCATAGTCTGTCTCGCGCGACTGTCAGCTGTTCGACCGATGCAGTTCCATCGCTGACCGATGGAGATACTTCCAGATCTTGGCTCGGCTTCAACCTTGGCTAAAGTTAAACCGAGCTGGGCCAAAGAGGGTGACTGTTCGCTGTCATGAATTTTCACGGTATTTCTTGCTCTGATACTCAGGCACTGTCAAGAGTTCTGAATGACAAGTATTTTTATGTGACTAGAGACTCAAATTATGGAGACGCAAGCTGCCTGTCGCCATCTTCTAACGTGGTATCCTGTCTTCAGCTCGATCTCAAACAAGGGGCAGCCGCATCTTTTGCAATATGCTTGCAGTTGCTGACCGCCTTACTAACGCTTGCTTCTTTGCTCGGGTCTCGATTTGGGTCTAAATGCATCCATCTAATGTTAACCACCTGTGATTCCAAAGAAATGGTTCACTAAGGAGAAGAAGACGTACCAAATCATACTCTAAGCAGATCAGAGTCTCCCAAAGCACCATATTCAAGCAAGCAAGCACTACGAGACAGTATCTCAGGCTTCTCTAGCCAACTCACTGGTACCAACAAGCAGTCACAATTCCAACCTCCTCCCTCTGCCTCCTCAAAAGCTCATCTCTCTCACGCCTAGTAGCATCAACATCTTCATCCGCAAGGAACCCCATCGCAACGCCCAACTAAGACGCAATAACAGGTCTCGGCACCCCCATGCCACCGAATAGTAACGCTCCAGGAACCTCGGCGTAGGCAAACGACAGCAGCTCCGCCGTGAAGCGCGAAATGTCGAATTGATTAAAGGTATGATCGCGCGCGCCTTTGATCTTAAGGAGGTGGCGGCGGGTGCGGTAGTAAGCCATCGTGGCCCAGACGTAGCTTCGCTCGGCGACGCGAGCCGACTCGGCGGTCATCCAGTCGAGATAATGCGTTAGGTGTGGGATGAAAGCGGGAGGCACCGTTAGGACGCGGATGAGGCCTACGAGTTGGGCGTGGGAGCGGACGCGGGTGATTGTGAGGCGGTCGCAGGTGTAGGATGCGGGACAGATTTCGAGGGGCCGGAGGCGATAGAGGATACCACTTCCCTCGTCGACATTGGCGCTTCTGTTGGCGAATTGATCGCCATCCCGGGGAATGAGCTCATCGGTGGTTGTGTCAGAGGTATGCCAATAGAGGTCCCAGTGAAATTCTTCGGTGGAGAGGCCCTGAGAGACCATGAGCTCGTAAGTGCAGAAGGGGAAGTTCGGGTCGTCGGGGAGACTTGTCGCGTAGATGTGCTTCTTCTTGCCAAAGTAGATGGAGAATGGGACTGAGATCATGATGTAGAGGGATCCAACCTCGAGTTTGTCCATGATGATCGGCGGATGGGTTGAAGGCGAGTAGGGAGCTGCTGGAGGCTCCATTTTGGTGAAGCTGAATTCCTTCAGAAAGAACAGTCTTGAAGTCAGGGTGATATTAGAGTTGGAGAGGTGAACATGTAGTGAAGATGAGGTGAGATGAGCTGGGGTGGAGTCGAACAGATGATATCGAGGCTACTAAAGAAAAGCAAAGATAGAAAAAAACCGTCCCAAATTTTGGAATATTCTTTCCAGAACGGTGTGGAATACGCAGCCGTCAGAGCATCCAGACCAGCCATCGCCCATCGGCAAAACCATGAATCACTCAGCTATCACTCCCGAGCCTCCAAGGCACCTGCTTCTTTTGTCGCGCCTCGCAAACACAGTCGACAAACAAGAAGAGCACTTGGCCCAAAGAAGGCCGGCAAAGCCCCCCAAGTCTCAAGTGAGGAGCACTTTGCTGGTTTCTCGGAAATCGACAATACAATAGATATTTGTCCAACTCGCCCAGTCCTTCAGCTCGATGTAACCGCAGCCCACTCTTCGAAAGATGAATCGACCATCTAGTACCGTAGACAACATGTCTTCTCAATGAAAATACCCAGAATAAAGTCGCACGACTTGTCCCTTGAACGGGCGTCAAAGAGCAAAAGGTCACGTGAGCGCCTTCAGTGAAATATTGATGGTCATCCATGAAAGCCATAAACTGCCTGGCGCGGAGAACGACTCTCGAATATCGTGTTGGAGCGGAGGTGTAGACCGTAGCACCGCTGCCATCACTGTGTAGGCGCAACTGCCCTTTAATTTGAAAGACCTGAAGCTGAAGCAGGATGGAGGAGATTTGCTGATGACCTTTACCTTGGCCTTGTATCACGTATCTCTCAAATGAAGCTAGGAACTCAATGGAATCAGGGTTTGCCCGAAAATCTTCATGTTCTAATGATACCGGTCCATCCATAGAGGCCCAACTCCACGTAGGAAAACTTGAACCCGCTGGCACATCTCCCATCAGAGGCTGCTTGAGATCTTCTGGTTGCCCTGCCCCTTTTCGAATTAACTTGCGTCCTGCCAACACTCAATACAAGCTTCTGATCAAGCTCTTGTTGAAGTGGCCCCAAACACATATATCGTCCATTGCCTGGCCCAACCTCGAGGCCACTGCGGACAACGCCATAAGCTTGTCTGATTCTGGTGATGTGAGGTCGCGGTCGGTGTACTCCTTCACAGCTCGTAACCAGACAGTGGTGAGGGCCTCGAGGCTTTTAGGCCCTGCCGTGCATGGAACCGACGTCAGTTGCAGACCTTGAAAGAAGTTATCTTGAAGGGTCAGACCATCCGGAAACGACTCGTATGCGTGCTGGCAATCAGTACAGCTCCAAAACAACTCTCTGCAACCGAACCCGAGAACACATGGCGACAGCAATCTTTCTTGCAAGGCCCACGCTCGGGAGCCTTGTGGTTGGCGGTAGAGCGCATCTCCATAGTAGCTGGAAGAGAAAACTATACTTGGATGATGAGTGGACTCGTTTCTGTCGAAAGTGCATCTTGTATCAACTTCAGTGGGTGGCATAAAACGTGGCACACTCCCTCGGAATGTACTTCCATCTGGATTCGCAGGTCGGTACAGCGCAAGGCACAGTATGCTGTTTGAGTACACACCCGCCATTCGAGAGGACTCATATGTCCAGTCTACGGTGCTTCCGGGCCCACTCTGAATGACACACAATGAATAGATCCAGATGTACTGGATGTCGAGGTATCGTACAACTTTCAGAGCTTCACGGAAAGCTATTGGAAGCTCATCGTCGGCAATACCTGCCCGCACATTATCTTTGTTACAAGCGGTAAGAGGAAGAAATGAAGGGTTAGAGCCCCAGCAATAGCTAAGTGCAGCATACGGCCCGGAAATCGGTGTCGTCTCAGTGTCGATGAGCCGCAATCCTGCATCATCGATCTCCAGCAAGCGGGTGGGATACGACTCTGGTTGGTCTTTGACGCAACAGTCTGCTTGTTCTGCTAAGCACGTACCCATCAAATACTGCACCGCTCTTAAGCTTCCGATTCGGGTATGATGCCGTTCCTAACAGCGACGCTGCAGTTGACGTTGACGGATGATTTCGGATAGACACGGAAGTGGCGCGAGAACATACCGCCCCTCTGACATGGAACAGTGATAATGAGCCGAGCAAAGACTCAGAGCCTGCTCGGTTGAAAGCAGTTCGATACATCCATGGGCCCGTGAAAATATCGAGTGAGCCATGCATGTCCAGTGTCCGACGAAGTAACTCGCCGCAAATGCGACACTCACTCGTGGCTGACCTGGAGAGCGAAAGGCCATCTTGGTGATGGATCTTGTATCCCAAGTCGAAATTCCGTTGGACGTGAGACCAACCACGGAACATCGGCATGCAGATTTCGCAGAGCATCTTTTTCCAAGTGAAATCCGAATCCAAAAAGTTCGACGACGTAGTCGGCGCTAGAGTTAAACGGTCCTAAGGATTTGGTCTCGCAATACTTGGTGTGGAGAAGACTCGAGAAGACTATGTCGTGGAGTAGCGAACAAGAAAGGTAAAGACGTTCTTGCCCTTTTCTTTCAAGCGGACAATCCACTTCAAATATTGAGACAATGGCTCACCGAATTTTACCATGTTCTTTTGGCTGATACGTAGATGTGCCATGAGGTCCTGGCGGACAACTATCGGATGTCTTAGCTGTGTCGTCACTTCCGACTCTACAAAACGCCCCCAACTTGAACTGCATTTTGCTGTAGGTGAGTGGACTCCCTCTTATTTGAAGTATTCTCTAGTCTTCCTTTGATGGCGCCGATCGAGGACGATACTAGCAGAGATAGCAATACTGCAGCTGCCGATAATGATAGAGTTTACATGAATCCACTCGAAAATTAGTTGCTCGAGTAAAGCAAATGAAGCGTTTCTGGATTAGAATATGATAATTTCGGTGAGTGCAAGGGCTTAGAAAGGAAGATCATAACAGCAGCATGGCAGAGGGCACGCCAGCTTCTAAGACCTGTTGGGTGCTGCACATCAAAACTGAGAGGCCAAGACTCATTCTAGCTTTCATCCAAGATCCCACTGGCCTCCTTATCTATGGCTTCGAAACACTTTTCTGCAATTATGATCAGTACAATTGCTCGGAATCTCGAAATTCATGGACCGTATTGTGCCATCGACCCGATTTCTCCGACCTGCTCGGGTCTCGTGAAGGCGGTGAACGTTGGGTGCTGTAATCTCTTTAAGCTTTTCATTTTCTCAACCCGGTGGGATATAGATTGAGAATTTGAGTCAAAATCTCGTTCTTCTCGCATTATCTCGGAGGTAAGAGCAGCGAAGCTATAGTATATAAGAGCCGCAAGGTTACAGCTCCGACTGATGTAGTATTGAATATTCAAACAAAGGTGCACTCCGACCATTAGACAATTCGCCAAGCGCCCATCCGATTGAACGTAGCCATCGACTCATCTTCAAAATGCTCTCACAATACATCTTTGTCATCGTCGCGTAAGTACCGTAGTTAAGCCTCCAATCAACGTCTGCCAATGTGGACACACGCTTACTTTTTCGCCCATAGCGCATGCACCGCCGGCTCATTCGCATCTATCGCGACCTGTAAAGGAAGCTTCTATGCCGGCGCCTGCCAGGACATCTTTGCACCTGGAGCTCGTCACGACACACTCACGCAGAGCTGCTGCCAACCTCCCCATGGTACAACTTACCATGATGGCCCCGGAACATTTGTACGTCCTCCGCTAGTTGGTTTGGTTGGAAACAAGGAAGATAACTGACACTTAACCTAGTGCTGCACCACTGCCGACTCTTCAGCTATTGCTTACTTGTCGTCATGCTGTTCCAACGGCGGGAAGAGACAGATCAACTTCAACCCCGTGCGAAGCGGCTGAGTTTTTGATGTCGCAGGTCATCTCTAGTGTATCTAAGTGAGGCCATTGGCAATACAGCTGAACACGAGGATACTAGAGGCCCTGCGAACAGGCTATCTGGGCACATATGTTCCCTGACCCGACCTTCTTATCTGTTCACCTTACTCTACCGAAAGGGGCCGAATGGAAACCCTCACAAATCAGTGCAAAGCTTATTTTATACCTAATATCAAAGCTTCATTGCACGCACATGCACTTGTGTCTTTGTTATTGCCTGCGTCGCAAGCCATCCTTGTGTGTCGGTGATGGCTCGTTTCATATTCTACCCGAATCGGGGTGATATACCCGCTCAGGGCCCCATCGCTCGTCATTGCTGGTCCTTGGCTCCCCACGAATTCTGTCATATGGCGCTGAGGGACGTTCCGCCTTCCAAATCAAGCACTTGAGTTGTTCTACTCCGCCCAGATGCTAACACGGGCGAAATGTTGCTCCGATTGGCATATTGGCAGACGTTGCTGAGAGATTCAAGACTGTGAAGTTGCAATCATGTTCATGAATGATGCAATTGCGCTAGAATGAAAATCTCATAACGCCGGCTTTCACTATTGCTACTTCCAGCATGGAGTAGTCGTAGAGCTACATCGTTTCGTCGCATCCATTCTTCAACTCGCATCAGAGGCCATGCATTCTGCTACAACTTACAATTACTTGAAGAGATCGAGACTAAGTAGAGCCATGACATTTTCGAACTCATGTTACTCCACGCGCGGGTGGGATGGCCGAGGCCAAGAGTGTCACCTAGACGCTGATCGTTTGTCATTCGTGACCTGTCGGGCTGTGCAAGGATCAACACTTCGCTTGGCCACGTCGATAGTATCTTGGCTTCTGACAAAGCAATTAAAGTGAGAAGCGAACCAGAAAGTTATGTGGGATTTCGTCCTTTGGTAGACAGGAATAGGAGAGTTGGCAAACCTAAAAAGTAACAACTGAATCGACCGACGAAATCGCGTGAAATGATTCGATGGGCGCGCGGGCAAGTGGATTATCGCCCACCTGCTCACCTTTACAATGTTCATCCGGAGTAATGGCAACCCCTGAGCCAAGACAACTCATGCCATGTACTGATGCTCTTATAAGACGACCATATTTCCAGTCCTCTAGGAAGGCTCTTTCATCATCGACCATTCCATCAACTTACTCAACTCAAATTCAATCACCCTTCAAGTCTTCTGGAAGCTCCAAATCCCAACAATGAAGTTCTCAATTGTCGCCGTTGTTCTCCCCCTCATCGCGGGCGCGAGCGCCGCGCCGTCAGTCGTTGAGCGCCAATCCCCCGCATGCGTGGCCTACAGCGGCAAATTCCCCCACGAGCTTGTCTGGGGAAAGTACTTCCTTTGCTGCAACTACAATGGTCCTGACACTACAGTACGTCAAAATTCAGTCTCCAACAACAATAGCTTTCCCACGTGGCATTCCATCTTTACTAACGAGACAATAGACCTACCAGAACTGCTGCGACAGACAGGGTGCGGGAACTGGAAGCGGTTTCCCTGGATGTGCTTAGACTTAGAGCTTACGAATTCGGTTCTTGTAAATAAAACTCCCGCAATGTCTGCGGGCTTTCACAACAATCAACTCTAATTGGAGCCACATTTCTTCCCAGATCCTAGCCTTATAAACGAGAGGGCTAAAACATCACTTGTCGTAAGACGGAAGACTCCGCTGAGCAGTGCTAGATACTGTATGCTACTACATTTCTGTAGCGGCAAAACGTTGGAGTTACCTTTTCAATAATCAGTAGCGAGATACTATGCTTCCATATGATTGACCGCGAGAACGAGGAACACCACGATCACTAGTACAATATAAGTCGACACCCCCTGCATAGTGTTTCGTTGGAAACCCACAGTCGCGTACATTCTCGGACTTATACGAGCCTTCCCCCAACAGCATTTGTTCGTTGCAACACACTACCTGCAATTGCCACAGAGAAGCTACCGCATTCTCACTCGCGAATCGTAGTAGTAGCGGCTTGACAGGTCGTATATCCCGATCTGCCCAAGCCAGCTCATTTACGGCTGGCAAAGCGCATCATACCAGCGCCAACGTCGAAGACAGTCACAAGGCTGTTCATCATCGTGTCGCCCAAGATGTAAGGCCCCTCGCCGCCGTCGGTGACACCAAGCAAACAGACAAAGGTGCCGTCACCATTGTCAATTGGGTCACTACTCTGGATCAAATCGGCCTTGTCGGCGTAAAAGGTATGTCCGTTGATCACAATACCAAAGTCTGGCACTTTGGCGTCACAAGGAGCATAGTACGCGCCAGAGAAGAAGTCGTAGAAGGAGTTGGGGATTCCAGCCGCGAATGCATCGGAGATATCTGGGCAAATAGGTAAGCTGAGCGTTCCATGCTACTGCCTGAGTATTATTGAGGAGTTTCGATTTCACTTACCAGACGGCACATACATCAGAGTCGTGCCACTGTCGACAATTGTCGGGGTTGTGCTGTTGTAAAACCCGGTGGGTTTGGAGACTGCGGTATTCCACTTGCTTGCAGCCAGGGTCTGATTGGAAGTAGGGGCCATGGTTACGTTCTTGATAACGTATCCGTCAGGGAGGATAGTGTAGAAAGAGTACTCAGTCTTCGCCTCGGGCCTGTGAGATAAGAGGGCGACCTGCGTTCATGTTAGCTTCCCACCTTGAAGCAGGCATTTTCCGCACTGGCACGTCCAGAGCTTTGAACCACTCACCATTCGGATAGGCGTGCTGATAAACTTGCCCTTGGTCTCGACAGGAGGCAATCCACCGAAAGCCAGTTGACCGACCTGAGACTTACTGTCCATAGCCATGCTGAAGAGATCGGGCTTGACTATGCCCTTCTTGGACATGGTGGTGAAGATGGAGTCATAATAGATGGACTTGCCAGTCGCATCGTCGTACTCGCTGGTGAGCAAGTCATAGGCGAGGCCGAGCAAGCCGCTGGCGACGTTGTCGCCATTCCAATAAGTCTTGTTAACCAAGGCGACCTCTTGATGCGGCACCTCGAGACCGGCTAGAGTGATGTCTTGGTAACCCATGAGGCCTGTGGCAAATTCACCGTCACCGTAGGTGATATTGAAGTGAACACCGGGAATAGAGCCATGCTGAAACGTACCGTTATACGTGGGCCCGAAGTTGCACAATGAGGTCTGCTCGTGACGTTTGCGGGTCAGCTCCGCCTAAGGAAAACTTCGCCCCTGCTTCGGTTGCTTGTTTTGTTACTTACGTCGTTCAACCTGTTGCCGTCAGAATCTTGGCAGATGAAGTCCTTCTGAACTGCCCAAGTGTCACTTGATCCGGAGTCGACGATCACTTGTAAAGTCTCGTCGCCGAAGAGAATGCTGGCGATGTACTCGTAGCCGTTCAAGTCGGTCAAGTTTGTAACGTGACCTGTCTTGTACATGCCGTTCGAGCTAGGCCCGTTCCGAATGGATTGAATCCATGTCTGAGCCGGGGAGATACCAACGACTCTATTCAGCTCTAGAACGTGAGGAGACACTTCCAAGGGCTCGCTGTCGACGCTGCGTTTCTGCAGAGACGACAGGTCGACTTCGGTGATGTCGAACTGAAGGGGTGTACGGGATGCGGCCACAGCAGAGTCAATCAGGCTTGCCGCCGATGCGATAGCGGCAAGGGCCTTCATAATGAGCGTAGGGGGTCAGTGATGATGTAATGAAGCCGATTGTGTCTACAGTCCCTGCAAGAGTTACCGTAAGCTAGCTCTGGTCTATCACTTGCCGGCTAGACGCCGTCCTTTTATATTCCTCTGCGACGCGCATTCAATTTGCAAAGATTCGTGATCACTGTTCCACCGGATGGATTTGGTGATTGTTCCACCACATGGACCCCTCCTGTGTTGGCCGAACATCCGAATCGTCAATTTTCCGTCGTTCCTGTTATTGATAAGACGTAGGAGTGAAGGAGAGTCTCCTGCCCGAAAAGGAAGGAGGGGGTTCTGGAACATGGGTGGTGTCTGGGGTACGATTCAAGCTTTGGCTAAGCTTCGTTGCCGATCTACCGAGCCATAGAGTTAGTCTAGACGGCCCTCGAAGACGACGATAAACGCATACGGCAGTTTAATATCGACTATTAGATATGATAGGTCTTTGTGAACTTAAAATACAGTTGGGCCAACGGTCATTCATGATCGGACGACAAGGCCAGTTGAAATTGTTTGCCCTTCTGGTGATGAGAAACAGATCGGCATTCCGTTTCAACACTTACGTGTTAACTTCGGTCGAGGGGATATCGACTCAGTGATCCGCTTTGTCTCCGATGTTACCTTCAGATAGGCGAAAGTCCCCTTGTCAGTGGTCTTTTGGTGCCGATAGCCTTGACCGTTCATTTCGATGAGATTGTCAAAGTTCTTGCAGAGGCATGCTCAAAAAGCCAGAAGTTGATAATGACCTGGGAACTTAATCAATGATCATCAGCAACCGTCATAGATTGAGAGACGTCTGGAATGAGTATATTATATTATGCCTTGATTGATGATCTCGGCAACACAGAGACGTCAGAGTTGTTGAGGCCCACTTAGCACAAGGTGCATCCTCAAAAGCGACTAAGGTGTCATGACTGGATGCAAACATAGCGGCTGATAAGATAGAGAAGGTGCGACCCTGTTTTTTTTTTTCAGTCGCAGAGGGACTTTCCATAGCTAATATAGCTTCATACCCTTGGGCCTACTTTCAAACTCTCTTGAATCCTCCACATCCTCAGGAATACCAAAAGAGAGCAAATCCAAAATACCACTACGCAAGTTCACATCATCGTCCGAGCCCAACTCCCCCGGGAGTCTAAGTCTCAAAAGAATCTTTTTGATGCCCCTCCGATACTTTGGTAGAGTCCTTGCTTCATGCGCTTCAATAGCTCGTCGCGACATCCAAGGGACTGAATCATTGACTTCGCCATGCACTGCCCTTTTCCAAGACCCTTAGACTTGAACAACATCCTTTAGGACCCAATGAGGCCGTTCAGACAATCTGGGGGATCGTACTCAAGCACAAGCCTCTGATCTCTGCTATCGATCAGCATTCACTGGAGGGGGTTAAGAGAGAGGCTCTCGCGTACGGCCACCCCGACAATGTCGGCGTGAGCACCGAGGAACCAAGCTTTCCAGTGTGAGTCTTGATCTCCTCCCTCTTTCGCATCCTCTTCGTCTATCTCGATGCAGAAGAGTGGGTATGCTCTTCGCAACTCTTTAAGCGCGGGCACGTATCGGATGCGTTGGACGAAGCTGACACCTACCTCCGAACTTCGTCGAATCGGTCTCCCGCGAGAACCTGCTTGACAGTATCGAAAAGGTCCAGAAATTCGATCTTTGGAGGGTCTTGTGTGTTTTCTGGTCTATATAGAGTGGGTTTTAGTAGATATTATTGAGGAGATCCAAGGCCCGTCACAGATGCTTTACTCATCCGAATCGAAACTCCTGTCCGCTCGCCACCCCTCCCTGGTCGTCTTTCCTCCCGCTTAGGTGGTTCTTGAGATCCCACTTCGACTGGTCCTGGTTTTCTGGAATCTCTTCCAGTGCAAACATTCTCAGAAGCGAGGCAAGGAGGCGAACCACATCCGTGAAGTTAGGTCATCATTGTCCATGCAAAGAACAGGATGAAGACGGACAGGCCCCACGGCTGAAGCCGAACAACCATACTTCGCCATTCTTGGACGCGATCTTCTTGCAGCAATATTATCTCTATCAAGGGGTTTCACTGGTTGTCAATCTTACCATTGTGTAACGACTCACTGTGAATACGTCTTCTATCTGCTTCCAGCACACTTCTCCTGTGGCACTGTTGTGCCGCTTGTTAATGGCTCTACGACGCCGATACCTTGGTAGTTTCACGGGATCTGATGATTATCAGCGTGTTCGACAAGCCCAGTAAATATATCAGCGGCCATTGTACCTGTGCAATCCCGTTCCCGCACTCGTCCGCGATCATCCCTCTCTTGATCGAGGCGAATATGCGGAAGACATTGCTGTTATTCCCACTGCCGTGGCCTCATGAATATTACGCAGTGAGTAATTGCTGAGAATGGTATTGGGTCAGACCAGGGAGTACTCGCCTTCCCTTCCGTCTTCACTGTACCAAGTCTCATCGACACAACCCATAATCTTCTTCAAATTGGTTGGTTTAGCCATATTCGATATTTCCGTTTGTGTCTGGCGAAGTCTTGCAACCTCACAGCACAAGCCCATCTTCGACAGATGGAAAAAGGTTTTCACGGCAGTGGCTCTGATCAACATCTCGTCTGTACGCATAATAGCTATGCGACTTTATTAATAAAAGACGAACAGCCAGCTTGACCGGAGGTGCATATGCACGTAAGTCTCGCTGACACGCTCCTTCTTTCACCGTTCCTTTGCCTGTCAACGAAAGGTGGTGTGCACTTTACAGGCCATACGCTGAAAACTCACAATAGCTTGATACGACTGGGTTTATGAAGTTGGAAGGTGCCTGAGACTTTGAGTACTTGAGGAAATAAAACAAAGGCCTATATCTTGCTGCGCTTCCCAGCCTATATGAAATTCAAGGGGAAATATATTATGAGTTGCTTTTCAGTCCAAATATTTAGAATTGCTAGAAAATCATGACATATGTAATGCTAGATAGCCTCCGAGGTCCTCCTCTCTATTCACCCTGTCCCAAGTGTGGTTGCATTTACAACGCCCCTTCCTTGAGGAGATATGCCGCACTTCCACTGCCTGGCCGGCTCACTACAACAGCACCCTCCTTTTGCTCCTCTGTAAGCTCGCGCTTGGAGTAGTACTCCCTCTCCCACGCCTCCTTAACAGCAGCGACCTTGTCAGCGGGCACCATGTGAACGGTGCACCCACCCCAGCCAGCACCGGTAAGTCTGCTACCGTACGAGCCGTTCTCTCGCGCAATGCGGCAAAGCTCGTCGATCTCGGGGGCACTGCACTCGTACAAGTCGCGGCACGAGTCTTGCGTTGCATTCAGCAGGTCGCCAAGGCGCTTGTTGTAGGCTGTAGTGTCCGAGGTATCCTTTGGCGCTTCCTGCTCCAGAACCTTCATGAACTGGAGCACGCGAAGAGCCTCCTCAAAGACATGCAGGGCGCGCTGACGGAGCTTGAAGCGGTCGGCACGGACGGAGAGCTTGGACATGAAGATCTGCTCGAGCTCGGAGACGGAGACGCCCAGGACCTTGGCGATCTCTTCGCGGGTGTAGCCTTCGGTGCTGTCGAGAGCCTTCTTGGTGACGTCGATGAGCACGCGGAGCTGCGCTTCTGCGGCTTCCTCTGCCGATGCGCTCTCGGCGTGCGGGAGCTTGTTGTTGGCAAAGTAGGCCTCGTGGAAGCCGTGAAGGGAGATTCCGAGCGGGGAGGCGTCGGTAGGAAGCTTTGTGCCGGCGGGGTTGAGGGCTGCGTTGAGGAAGGCGCCTGCCATGCTGCACTCGACGACGCGCAGGTTATAGTGGATGGGGCCAGTGACCTGCTTGTTGGAGGTAACGAAGGACTGGGCGATGAGGAAAGAGAGCTCCGGGTTTGTAGTTGGGAAGAAGACGGGGCGGGCTGTCAGCGAGGGGCTGAAGGAGACGAACAGGGCGGAGCCGCGCTGGGAGAAGACAGAGGCGGACTGGTCCATGCTGGATAGGATGTTAGATCGACGAAGAGGTAGTAAAGGGGCATAAAGGTGGATCTCACCCGCCAGAGTTGACACCAACAGCGCGCTCACTGACGATGGCAAGCTCGGTCAGCTCGGTCTTGTCAACAGTCTTCTCGCCGTTGGCAAGCATGACAGCCAATGCCGAGGCACTAACGAAAGCAGCACTAGAGCTGAGACCACCGCCAACGGGGACGTTGCCGTCCATGAGGATCTTCATACCCTTGGGTCTGAAGTCCTTGCCATGCTTCCGACGTAGCAGCTCCAGGGCACCACTCAGGCCACTCTTGAAGTAGTTGGACCACTCGTGAACCTTGGAGTCGATGGGAACGTCCGCGCCGATGGGGACCTCGAAGGTGCGGGAAGGGTACTTGTCGGACTGAGCGTTTGCGACGCGAAGGGTGAAGGTCTCGGAGTCGGTGGGAGTGTCGGTGACGGAGAAGGCGAGGATGGCATCGGCGGTGATAGCCATGGGCAGGACGGAGTAGAGGGAGTAGTCGATGTGCTCGCCGATGATGTTCACGCGGCCCGGGGAACGGGCGACGACGGAGGCTGGGTGGCCATACTCGGACTCGAACTGCGAGAGGAGCGAGGACCAGCGCTTGTTCTGGATGGGGAGGGCATCATCTGTGTAAATGTCGGCGAGGGCGCTCGCGGTGGGAACGGGGCCGGCCATGGTGGGCGGATATGTGTTTCGCTCGGGGTCGAATACGAAATGGGTATCTTTACTGCTAGAAGAAAGACGTTCAATCAGGGGATCCAAACCGGGAGAAGGGGAGAAGGGGAGAAGAGAAGAGAAAAGAAGAGAAAGAAGAGTGTGGTGGTGGTTGTGGTGATTTGTGACGTTCTGGGGACGAGTTTGTATTTGGATGGTGGGGGTGGGTGGGACGAGGCCGGGTGGTTTGACGATGCGCCGTAATAACCCCGCGATGGAGCTTTGGTGTTTTTGCGGGTGCTCTCCCAACTTTGCTGCGCTGGAAGTGGTGCGCGTGTGGTGCCTCAAGCTGCTACCCCGCAATTG